ATCTCAAAACAACCAAATTTCCATGAAAATTGTCAAATCACCACTGCATCTGGAATACTTACCAAGAGATAATGCAAAAGTTACAAAAATTACAAGAGCCAATTTTATACAGCGAAATACGAATGGCTTCTTAATCGGGGCTAAATAATTGACCGCGAAGAATAGCACATAAGCTGGACCGTAATACAGATATATATGCTTCATATTTAAAAGCACGCAATAACTTAACGCACCCTGAAATATACCGAAACTTGAGAAAACCCAAGGCAATTACCAATAAATCTGTGTGAGGGCATGGCCCACCTAACTGTGTACGAGGTCTAAGAACAACCACATCGACCAGTTCTCCAAAATAAGGGGAATGAGTCAGAAATCAACTGAATCAAAACTGTCAACATGTCCTCTTATGCTGCAAACGAAAAGTAACGGTTGGACAACCGGAAATGAGAATAGCAGCTTCAGCACGCTTTGCGTTCGAGTATTGCCAAGGGATGTGATCGATGCAGATCTCGAAAAAAGACTCAGTGACGAATGATTCGCCGAAGCGAAAGCCTGCTTTCCTTTACGTCAACACAGCAGCAATACAATTCTCAAAGCTTTCCTCACATTAAAACATACAGGCAACGACTGGATTCAATCGGGCACAAAGATAATTTTTTATGCGTTTCGTGCTGTGTAATAGCAGTACAAAACGCATATTGTCACGGGGTTGTCTGTGTGTGTGTGTCCGCAGCAACTTGACCGCAACTTTCAACTCGGGAACCACAAAAGCTAGAAGGCTGAAGATTACGTTCTCCATCCACGTGTGACCCGGCAAATTAAAACTCAGCTTCCCCATACCCGCGGGTAACGCCCCGTGAAAATTTTTTACGGGTAAGTTAATACCTCGGGAACGACAGAGTCTAGGAGGCTAAAATTTTAAGGTAATGACCCCCTGCCCACGCTCAACCTTGCCTATTCAAATTCAGTCTTGTCTTACCCGCGGGTAACATGTATGGCCCCGTGAAAATTTTTGACGGGTAAATTATTATCTCGGGAACCACAGAGTCTAGGAAGCTGAAATTTTAGGGTAATGGCCCCCTGCCCACGCTCGACCTTGCCTATTCAAATTCAGCATTCCCGCGCTTTCGGATATCAACTACGGCCCCGTGAAAGAGTTCTGGCAGGTAAATTATTGTCTTGGGAACCGCGGGACCTATGAAGCTGAAATTCCAGAGTTAATGACTCCTTGCCCAAGCTCAACCTTGCCTATTCAAATTCAGCGTTTCCGCGCTCTCGGGTATCACCTACTAGTGAAAGTTTTTGCGGGTAAATTATTATCTCGGGGACCACGGATGCTAGAAGGCTGAAATTTCACGGTAAAAAGTAAACCCTGTGAAAGCCTTATTGTTTCGGGAACCGCGGGATCTATGAAGCTGAAATTTTACGGTAAATATCCCCTACCCTCGCTCGACCTTGCCTATTCAAATCCAGTGTCCCCGCGCTCTCGGGTATCACCTACGGCCTCGTGAAAATTTTTGCGGGGAAATTATTATCTCGGGAACCAAAAAAGCCAGGAAGCTGAAATTGTATGGCAGTGTATTCTGTCTACATACAATCCTGTAATTTTAAATTCAGTTCCCCGCGCGTCCAAGTATCACTTACGGCCCGTGGAAGCTTCGGCAGAGAAAATTGTTATCTCGAAGACCGCGGAAGTGGAGAATCTGAAATTTTAAGATGACCTCCTCTACAAACGTACGACCTCGCAAATCTGGACTCAGCCTTCGCGCGCCCCTGGGTACCACGTACAGCTCTGTGAAAATTTTGACAGAGAAGTTATTATCTCATGTGCATGAAATTTCTAGTGGCAAATTCCGCAACCTAAGAGCATTTCAACTATTTTTGCACAGACCAAAGTGCAAAGCAGTGAAAGTCATTAACAGTCAATTGCTCGTTGAACGGAATTGCACAAAACGCATGATCACGCCGTCTTCCCCGTTGCGCGTCGCTACTTACTGTAAATGGACGAATAACAACAGATCGGGTAGCGATGAAAAAAAAC